TTTGATCAGAAATGGTTGCTATGCTTATTTCGCTGAATCCGAATAGCTAATTTTATGATTAAAAGACGATTTGGCGACATTGTTTAAGTTGATTTCTTCACGTTTCTTCACTAAGGACGCTCACTATTGCTTTCTGATTATTTTAATTTTTGTTAATTTTTCTTTTATACTAATATCCCTTTAATTGAAGCACATGGCCCTTCTCTTCCTATTTCTGATAAATTTATCACCAAAAAATCCTGGTGATAATCCATTTTCAACTGTATAGTCGAATGATCCTCTGCTTATCATATCAACAATAACCGGGGACCTAAAGATGGTGAGCACTAATAATTTATAATTTATCATTTTTTATCATTTATCATTTATCAGTAATTTATCATTTCATATGGTCTTGCCGCTCTGAAAAAATCTATAAATTAGGACAATTAATTTTATGCGATAAAACATTTTGTCAAATTTTTAAGCATAATTGAAATAATAAATAAATTAATTAATTTTAATAACAAATTAATTATTAAAATTAGGTACTTTGGTCTACTATATTCGAATAAAACAGCGTAAAAGAAAAGCTGTGGAAATAGTGAAAAGTACCATTTTTATAGTGGTCAGCGAGAACAAAAATGAGAGTATTGGACATTTTCAAAGAGTTCTTATTTGTTGCGAAAAATATATTAATGTTTGACATGCAATCAGTGTCCATTCAAGTGATTAATTTTGCATGTTGCTCTTTCATTGTGATTTTTCTTACTTATTAAAGATTCATCATCAGCCGACTTCTTAGTAAACTAATGAACATCTTGTGAATAAATAAATATTTAACGAGTCAGCTAGCTTATCTCCTCTTTCCTCTTTCCTAAACGTTCGTTAGTTGGCGAATGTTTTAAGAAAAAGAAATTTGGAAATCAGCACAATTTCTGGAATATTAATGTCTTAAACATCATTTGCAGTCGGCGATCAAACCAAGCCAAATATAAACTTTTAGTTTTAATTCTGTTTCACTTTGAATCCATAGTGCGGTGACTCTTCTAACATATAGCATAGCATCTTTGCTAGGTGACTCGACATTGCCCACACTACTTATCAAGCCTATCTGTCCAATGATAAATCTATATCTATATCGCTGATTTTTGTTCGACTAAAATTAAAATCAGTTATTTTACGCATTGAATTTCTGTCCTCCGTAAACGATGAATATTTCATTGAAAATTTAATAAAAATTTTTTTCCATAAATTCGCTATCCATAAAAATGATCATTAAAAATGATCGCCATCTTCCAACTCCAACGGCTAATTCCAATTCGTTTTCATTTCTATCCCACCCATTTCTGAAGGCAATATTATCTTTTTCACTGATTAGCAATGGAAACGATTAGTAAACATAAAGCAGTAGCTTATAAAATACTGTTTAATGTGCGTATATATAAGTTGTGCTCGAGAATTCGGCAAAGCGAAATTCATCCACAGCGAGAATTGTGCTAGAAATTAGGGATTTTTTGAAGTTTTCAAGAATCTTAATTCAATATCAGATTTTCCTTGTACTGAATCATTGCTAGATGATGCTGAAATTTGCGTTCGAAATTAGGAACCACAAAATAATTTCATATTTCGTCAGAAAAGAATGAAGCTGGGCAATAACACTTCTTGTGCCAATGTGCTTATCAAATCCTCTATCATAAGACTTTTTATTTTTTTAATTTTAATTAATAGAAGGTTCAAATAATAATAAATGAAAAAATGCTTTAATTATCTATATTTTTTTATATTAAATTTTAGCCCGCTTTTTCTTTATTTCTTCAGCCGTACATTTTTTCCTCTGCAATTTCTAGCGTATGTTTGTGAGGAGATTTTTGCCAGAGAATCGGTTGGAGAAGCTCTAAACTCGTCCCACTTACGCAGATTTTATTATCAATGATAGATTATTCATTCATTTTATTCTTGTAATAGGATAGAAATCGAGAAATCTCATACTGTTTCCCTTTTGCCGAAATTGGATAGACTCAACCATCCGTTTTTCTCATTAAATTAATAATTACCGTTATTTTCATTCATAGCTTATATTTTTAGAGAAGGAAATCCTTTCACATAGGACTGAATATTTCATATAAGTAATTGAACCATTTGCAAATCGCATGTTTCCTTAAAAATATTGTCCTTTTCCTGGTGTAAATTTTCAGGGAAGCGGTTTCATATGAAAAGAGAAATCATTATTTCTTATTTATACATAGTAGTATAAATATGATCTTATATTATGCTCTTTAGTCAAGTTTGGTGAAAATTTGTCCAGAGGTACGGTGTGGAATGTGGAATAGCATTTGAGGAATATTAATATTACATGCTCTACGAATTTCTACAGGCAAATTATATAATAACGGTAATTTAAACAAAATGGAAAAAAAGCGAATGTAAGGAAACGTTAAAAGCGATGGTTTCGAAATTTGGAATTGGAAAACGAACATTGGTTGCGATAAACGAAAAAAATTAAAAATAAAATGAAACTAAGAAAAATTAGCTGACAGATAAGCAATATTCCGTCATCTTTAAACTAAAGGTACCCTCACCAGTCCACAAAAAAGTACAATTCAACGTTTCTAAGTGGGGGAAAAAACTATTTTTTGACAGTTGATCAATCGTTATGATGAATGATAAAAGTGGACATTCTGCGACAATCTCATTTGTAAACGTCAATAGTTTTCAACAAGAGAAACGTCAGAAACCACTTGAAATGCATGAAAGGAAAGTATACTGCGTGTATGGTATGAAATAAAGGGCATAATTTAGTGCAGAGCTGATCAAACTGTCACCTCGGGCTTCTATTGTCGGGAACAAATCTCATCGAAAAGCACCTGTAAAAAAACCCTCCAACACGGCAACGCGGGACCGCATGTTTCAAAGAATCAACGGTTTTTTCTTATTCGACCTCATTCACCTTCGCTGCAACACTGACATTCTATCTTCTGCCTACCATTTGTTGAAGTCTCTGCAAAATTATTTAACTGAAAAAAAATTTTTTCTTCTTTCGAAGAGGTAAAAAAATGGCACTGAAATACAGCGGCGTAAGTTTCTAGAAGAGAGATAAATTGCAAAAAAAATTATCGAAAGCGATAATAAAACTGATAAAACTGACTTATATTATAAAAATTTATTATAATTCAATTAATTTATTCAATTAAAATTTCGTTAATATTTTTTGAGAAAACCTAAAAATTTACCAATTTTCTACTAATTTCCTTCTATGCATATTTCTAAAGCGCAAAATATTTACTAATAATTATTGACGATATTTAATAATTTCGATAAAGTTAAAACTAAAATACGATAAAATAAGCAAATTTAAAAACATAAAAATGAATGATAAATTAAGGCAATTAAAATCGCCTTTTGTTTCTTCGAATTTTTTCCAGAAAATAAAAAGGCTTCTTATTCTTCTCATTATTTGAGAAGAAAACGAATTAAAATTTTTACTTTAACTATTTTGATGTGAAATTTTTTGAAAAAATTTTGCCATTTAACGAAAATTATTACATTCTTATTTTCTCATAAATTTATTTATTATCGAATTTTTTGGTTTTTCATTAAAATTTCTTCAAATTTATTATTATTCATTAATGTTTAATTGCGTTTTGCTTTTTTTTTTAAATTTATTTTATTTAATTTAGTTTAAAAAAATTTCTTTTGAAAGAAAATTATAGTTGAAATAAATTTGTTTTTTCACAAAATTCATCGACTACATTAGAAAATAAAGTTGAAAATACGGTGGGTGATAAAGTGTAAAGAAATGGAAAATATTATTTGATAGATAAGAACTACAAAATATGAAATTTTGAAATTTGCACAACTCGCTCATTTTTATCATATCTTTAAGGTTGGATAGGTTGCTCGAATATTGGATAGGTTGTTCTGATAAAGGCGAAATCATCGTAGTGGATTCGATTCGTGTTCCTTAACGAGAGTATCAGAGAGAGATCTATCATTAGAACCGAGCTGAGAAGCTCATTTGCACTTCTAAATTCCGTGACTCTCTGGTGAGGGCAATTGATTCCAATTATAGTTTGCAATAAGCAACGATGTATTAGGAGAAGAAGACATCTAGTTCAAAATTTTTTATCAGCCAAGCCTTGAATCTTCGATTGTCAATGTTGACGAAAATAATAAAAAACTCATTTCTAATAAGTTTATTCATATGAAACCAAATGATTGAGTAGTTGTGACTTAGGTCGATGCTTCGAACCCCGCGGTTCGGAGAATGCTTCTGGTAGAAACAAACCTGTCATTGGATAATCTATTGAGTAATACTGGTGGCCTATCTGCACTTTCATCCTCATATGATCTATTGGCAAAAATTAATTTTTTAATATCCTAGCAGCCAGCGAAACCTAACCTAGTTAGCCTAAAAATGGTCAGCACTAAACATTTGTTTCATCACTTAATTTTTACTTTTTCAGAGTGTTCTTAATCATGATTTTTTTAAGCCGAAAGAAAGATGTAAGAGGTTCGAGAAGAAAAAAAGTCTCTTATGGGCTAACGGCGGATTTAGGCAACCACTGGACTATGAAAATGTTTCCGGTGCTTAAAGTATATAAAGATGTCGACAAAAATTATAATGATTTTCACCAGACTTTTTTTTGGGTGTAATTATGTTTTATATGCATAGCTTCACTCGACCAGCTTCTTGTCGCTTGAAGCCATTTGCCTTCTTTGTCTCAGTCTCACTTCTGGTTCAGCTGTGGTGACCACTGTCCACTATTACAGATATATTTATACATGGGATGATCTTCGTTATCCTGGTTCTATTTTTATAAAAAGTTCAAGCAACGTGGATTAAACCTATGGTACTTTACTTAATCGAAGCATGCCACTGCTTATTTCATTGCTTTTAGTTCCAAATGTTCACATATATATTGCGAGGCGAATTCAATTTTAGTGTTTGCACCTATTTTTTATAAATTATTTTGTAGATATTTTCGTCATTAAACAATTTTAATAGAAATTTGAAGTTGATGGACATTGATTCTAATTTATGGTACTATGTGAAAGAAGAACGAACTAGAAAGAAGCAAATCAACTCGCTTAGCTATTACGTTGTCATTATTCTCACCTGGTGTTTTGTCGTAATAACGCTGCCATTTTCATTATTTTTCTGTATTAAAATTGTCAATGAATATAAACGAATGGTGGGTTTTGGTGCTGATTAATTTTTAAAATTTATTCTACGGTATATCACATATATTTTTTTCTTAAGAGTCCTCACCATTAGTGGTCACATTGGACAAATATGCCAGGGATAAATATCCTTTGGCGATAGAGTCGCCAATTGCATCTCCCGGATTTTTGGACTGGTTTACTCCTGCGCAGAATCGAACGTCAGCACCGGCATTCCGAATTGAGCAACAATTCACTGAGCCATCCTATCCAAATGCCACATATATATTTGCATACAAAAAACAAGAATGAAAGCATCGCAACATTTTAGGTTATATTTCGTCTTGGCAGAGTTTTACGAAATTCAGTACAAGGCCCAGGCATTGTACTCCTTCTTCCATGTATCGATGAGCACTATGTCGTCGATCTAAGAATACTGTCATATGATGTACCGCATCAAGAAATGTTAACCAAGGATTCCGTAACAATAACTGTTGATGCGGCTGTTTATTTCAGAACTAGGTTATCCTTAGTTTTACTCAAAGAATATTCCTGAAAAGTTCAAAAATTTATAATTCTTAGTTTTATGGATCATCGTATTGAAATTAGGGAAGTGATAAGAAAAAATTTGATCGATGAATATCGAAATAAATCTATATTTCGTGCAAATTATTAGGAATCGGTAAATTCTCTCAGAGTGTCCAATTTTTTTAGCGATCCTATGGCATCAATAACAATGGTGACAGACGCCCATCTTAGCACGAAACAATTAGCTCAAACGACAATACGAAATTTGCTTGGTACTCGAACTTTAACAGAAATAATGTCTGATCGTGATGGCATTGCGATGCATGCACAACGGGTATTAAACGAAGGTAGGGCAATCGTTTATTTCGATTGAAATTTTAGTAATTCCATGGAAATTTTTGGGTAATTTATATTTGCGAGAATCTTGCGCATGAAAAATTATAAAAATATAGGTGAAATTTGCCTGAAGGGAGATTTTTTTCGAACTATCTTTTTCCACCATTTGTCATTTTTATAAATGTAAAAAATGGAAACGATTAATAGGAACAAATTCGTGGGGCATTAAAATTGAAAGAGTTGAATTAAACGATATCCATTTGCCACATCAATTATGCCGAGCACTTGCTGTTGAAGCCGAAGTCTCTCGTCAAGCAGACGCCAAAATTGTTTCGGCAGCATGGGAACTGAAGGTGATTTTAAACAATACTGTAAAAACTATAGCGTGGTACTTACTATATATTTTTTAATTGAAGTTAACAATTAATAATTTAAAATAATTAGTAAACGAATTAATTCTGGCTCTTCGTAAATTTGAATCGAAACATTAGTAAAAGTAGGAGTTTAAGAGTTTTCGTGTAGTGTATATTTCGACTCTAAGGACAAGCACCGTGCGTTCGATTTCTCTCCTCTGATAAGTATTGGTCCAGCGCTATGGGCTTTTATTCCTTCCCTTTTCACTCTCCGGCAAATATCTCTCCATAGTTAATGAAAGCAGCCAAAGCAAAAATTTGGAGTGCTACTTGCAGAAGTCGACGAATTAGCGAATTTTCGAATTTTATAAAAATTAGCTAAATTATAATTTTCATCAAATTAAAGCAAATTTCTTTAGCAATGTAGTATTTTAATTAATCGTTGATGCATTTTTCCGGCTTCGCTCGCGCTGAAAAGCGCTGCCGAGTCGCTCGAAGGGTCGTCGTGCGCCGTTCAACTTCGATATTTGCAAATATTGAAAAGGATCGCATCAATTAATAATCATACAATAGTTTTGCCTATTCCAATTGATTTAATTCGAATTATAATGAAAAATAAAAAATTTATTTAAAATTAGAAATTTCAAAATAATTCGCCGTTTTAATGAGAAATTTTTTCGAATAATTTTCTCTTTTTTAAATAATTTTAATTTTACTAATTTAATCGTAAAACGAATCGCTGTTTTATTATAATTTATTCAATTTTCAATAATTTTCACCGAGAATATTTTATTTTTATAATTTTTTCTCCATAGGAAAATTTTTTGCAAAATTCTTTTACTGGTTTATTCATTTAAAGTCTTCCTTAATCCAACATTTAGTTCATATCTTTTGGCAGCGAAAATGGTTCATCGAATTGCTTTTCGGAACGTCTATGCTGAGACGCCAGAAAGAAGAATAATTTTCAAAAACCTCGCGTGGTACTACCGATCCGCCATTGCCATTTCTAGTTAAGCGACTCGTTAATAAAATTACGTTAAGCCAATGAAGCGATCCTCCTAACTAATATTTGAACAACAAAATTTATTAAATATCACAGTTTACTTGAATATCAAACAATAGCTATTTTTCTAAATGGATTGGCAAACCGTTTAGTCGCAATTGTTGATAGTCTCAAATGATAGCAATGATTGGTTGCTGCGCACCGATCTGCACCTCAATCTGCACCACGGAAGATCCTCTGACATACGGAAACCGCGAATGGTTTTTCGCATTAGGAGAAATAATAGAAATTATGATTTAAAATCTCGCTATTTTGCATTACTCTGATTCTTATCATTAAAATATTTTTCCTGTTTATAAATTTTATATGCCAGGAATTAATTAACATTTTTCCATTCACAATGGTCCATTTCCTGCCGATATAAGAGCACCATTGATCCGCCCAGCTGCCGAAATGTCTATCGAGGATCGATTTACTGGAGAACAAATTGGTGATCACTTATTCCAACTCAACTCAAATTTCATGAATTTCATGGATTTGCGACTTACGAGTGCTGTTTCTTATCGAAATATTAAATAATCTTCATGAAGACAATTGTAACTACGATTTCAAAATAAATTATAAATAAAGAGAATTTTTTATAAAGTTAAAAAATTCAGCAAAAATTCTCATTCTGAGGTAGAAAAACAAGAAAATTGATAATCTTTTATTCATATGAAAATTAAAAAAAAAATTGAAAAGTTCTTGTCTTTTTTAATAAATAATTGCCAAATTAAAACAACTAAAAACTTTAATAAATAAATAATAAAGTGATGCAAATCGTATAAATATTTATGTATCGCACAGCGAAATACAAATAAGGAGAAAAGTTTGAAATTGAAACTAAAAATAGAAAAAAAACAACTGAAAAGATGCCATTGGCACAAATCGAATATATAAAATTAGGCCTTAAAATTAATTCAAAAATATATTATTATTTACATGAAAATATAAATATTTCACACAAATATAAAAATTTCTAAAAAAACTTTAAAACAATTAGAAAATTTGAATTAAGACTTTCGCCAATAAATCATTAAATTAAACGAGAAAAATATTAAAAACGAGATCAAAAGAGGATTTGTATGGAACTTATTTATTTAATCATAGCTCTACTTAATTGTATTTCATGAGCAACTTAAGCAAATATAAATATCGAATAAATTTACAAAAAATATATGAGCAATATTAGTGTGAAATTTGAATCGCATTCTTTACCATGTTGGATTGGATATTTTCGTATATTTACATGAGCACCACATGAACGATTACAATTTATCAGCATAAATTTTACTCCTTTCTCATCTGAGCACTAAGGTTCACATTCTGTCTTCGAATGGATTTATCAAACTTTTCATTAAAAAAAATGAAATGTTAAAAGCCTCGTACTTATATCGTATTTAAAGCCTTATGTCGTCAAGTACTCGCTATCAAAAATTTTCATCGTACTAAGAGCTAGTGGAACGAGCCTAACCAGAAATGCGAACCTTACTTGATCACCATATCTTTATCCACTGTTCCACAGTTATATCTTTTCTCGTTGGCATTTTGTTACAAACATTCATCCAACATTAAAGGTAAGAATATTTTTTGTTTATTCTATTCTCCATGTAATTCTTCCAAAAGACCAACTATTTTGCCAGAAACAAGCAACATTTCATACGGAAAACAAGTTTAATACGAAGATATGGAGTTATAAAATTCATTCACAAAAAAAAATTTAATGCTAAACCTCTCCAAGATTTTTCATTCTTTCTCGACCTCACTTTCAAACGACTTAAACTTTTTATCCGCTAAAATTTTATAATTTCACTTCTCAATTCTCAAGTTTACATATATTTAAAATCTATTTAAAAACACTTGCTTTGCATATTAATGAAAAACAATAAAAAAATGTCTAATCATCTTTCGATAAAATCATAACAAATAAATAAGTGAATAAATTTCTTTTCAATTTTTCCAAACTTATAAATAATTCTCGACAAAATGAATTATAAATTATCCGTTGAAATGAATATTATTTCAATAAATTTTCAATAAATTTCTACCTTTCGCTAAAATAAATACTTAAAAATATTGTTATTAATTATTATTAATAATTTAATTATTATTAATAACTTAATTATTATTAATGATTCTTTATCCATTCTAATTATTAATAATTTAAATAAACTATTTAAGTATTTCGAAAAAATTAGCTAGTGCTAAACTCTGTTTCAACCTTTTTTTTTCCGCTTTCTGAACTTTTTAACGACTTGCCAACCATTATTATCATTTGTCGCTGGATTGAGTTCCATTTCCTGTGAATATTTGCTGTTTTCAGTATTTTCATTCGATAACGATGAATATTCCGAAGTTAAACTTGAAGTCGCACATGATAAATTAGATAAATTTGAGAACTTCCTTTGTTTATCGTTATAAGGAATGGTGTTGGGAGTAATAGTGACGTCCAAGTCAGAAGATACCAATATACAATTAGTTGGATGATTGGTTGTAGTTTGGAAACGATCCCAATTTTTTTGTACAGTTGATGAATTTGAAGATGATTTTGCAAACTCATTATTCGTGCTAATTTCTGTCTCAATTGATTCACTTGGCACTGAATTTACGGAATGTGCCAAAGATCCATTGACCAAATTTTTACCGTTTGATTCTAGAAAGAAAAACTCTTAAGGAAGACGAAAATGAGGACCATAACAAAGTAAAATATTAAAAAAAAAAATTTAAAAATAATTCAGAATATTGAAACCTACAGCATAAAAAAGAGAAAAGGTATTTTTTTATTTTCATTGTTACGAGAGAAAAAAATTGACAGAATTTCAATACCTTTTTTTATTTTTAAAATATCAGATATGGTAGTTTGCACTCGTTCAACAATCAATTTTTCAAATTCAATTTTTTTTAACTGGTAATTTCGATTATAACAAATCTGCATGAAAAATAACAATATAACTGTGCATGTTTGAGCAAGTAGCACCATACAAACCAACTGTTCGGTCTAAAAAAAAATATTCGTATTTGTAAAAATAAATAAGTATGGGTCGATTAGATAAAATTAATTATATTTATAAAATATAATTTAAATCGACAAAAATATTTTGACAATCACACAAAATTTGCCTATAAATAAGCAAATAAACGGCGATAACTTTATATTCAATAAACATAGTATTATCAACAAAAAATTATGAAGAAAAAGTACTGTTTAAATCAAAAAATAAAAAAAAATTTTGTTAAAATTTATAGTTCAGATTCAAACTCACTGTCCACAAATTATCATTAGAATGAAGATGATGATGTGTTTCGATTTGTGCGTATGACATTTCATCATCAATAGATTCTTTTTCGACAGATTTTGAGGCTTTTGCAACTCCACGTTCATTTTCAGAATTCTTGTCAATAACGCATTGAAGTGATAAGATGCTTACAATTTTTCTTAATTTTCTTACTTCTCGTCTCAGCTGATTTACCTTTAAAGAAGCCTAATAAGTAAATAGCAAAATAGCAAAAAGTAATAAGTAATTCATTTTCTTAGTTTTTGAAGTAATTCATTTTATATAAAATTTCTCCAAGCTTCATTATATGAATTGATAATTGTATGAATAGAATTTTGTTAAAAAAAATAATTCAGTGGACGGTGGAAAATCATAAATCCGACAAATATGACTTGTAAATAAACTAAAAATTATGATTTTTTTCCTGTAAATTAAACAAGACCTTAAGCTTAAGGTTGTGCTGTGAAGACTGCGCAGTACGATAAGCGATTTCCTGCGCAAGCTTCATCGCTTTTTCGACTTGCTTTCGACTATCATTTGTCTGCTCAACATAACGACGGCTCAATTCCGATAGATATTCATTGCTTAATGATAAATTGAGTTCTAGATTACCAATACGCTTATTAAGCTTTAAAAATATCGATTCTTTATGACTGAGTGATCCACCTGGTAAAGTCTGGCCTAAACAATAATATATCAAAACCACACCAAAAACAGAATAATCTACCCATGAACCATTATTACCAATAACATTAACAAATCATAATATAATATTTAAAAAAAAAGAAAAATCCTGCAATACTCACTATTTACGATTTTTTTCCCAGCAAAATCTTGAATTTGGTGAGCTGATTCATGCGTTGTTTGTGGATTGCATTTATTGTTTTCGTAATTTGGCGATTCAACAAAATTATTTTCTTTGTAAAACTTATCGAATTCGTGACACATATTACCAAAAAAAACTATATACGCAAACATATTTAGATGAAAAGATTTCTGCCGTTGATTTCGCCTTTGCAATTCGCTGTTGAATCTCTCTCTCTCCTTCTAAAATATTGCGAAGAAATTGCTAGAAATGATGATATCTGCGAAAAGAAATTTATCGGCCAAATAAATGAAAAACGACACACATTCAAATACCATAGATAACCTTTTTCGAAATTTTATTTCGAATATGGATTTCTTTTCTTTCTCTAAAAAAATCCAAATCTGAGAAACTGCTGAATTCTGACGCGAAGAACGCACGACAGAAAAGTAATATATTAACTGTTTGCTGTCTTATTGGACAACTGAAGCATAAACCAATTTCTACGCTGCAAATCAAAAACTATAAAATTTAGATTTAAAACTAAATCGTTGAGTAAAAAAAATGTGAAAAGGAAATTAAATTACATTTTTCGTTCATTTTTCCTTTGATCATTTACAATGCCACGTGAAAAAGCAGATCTGAATGCATTTTTAATATTATCGATTCTAATAATACCCATAGCATTTACCACAGCATCAACAAGAGGTATACTGTCAACTGGTTTTGAACCTTCCTTCTAAAATTCCCGATTATAACAATACAATTAGCGATATGGAAGAGAAAAATTGGATTCATCATAAAATCAATACGATCATTAAAAACTTTATCACAATGTCAGAGAAGAAAATTGTTACTTTATTATATTCCCAAAATAAATTTATTTCTAAAAACTTTTATTTAAAAGAAATATTTAAAAATATTTTTAACGAAAATAAAAGGTAATTCCCAATGATTTCATCGTTCAAAAAAATTAAAGCATTAAAAATGGATAAACAAATCCATAAGGTAGAAATAATTAACCTCAATATTTTCATCCTTCTGAATATTTTCTTTCATATCGGAACCTTTGTTTGAGATGTCAGACTTTATTGAGTCATCTATTTTTTGAACTTTTCCCGAATTCTAAAATAAATGAAATCAAAAGAGACGTTTAGATATTGGTAAGCTCAATTTATCATAAAACTATAAGCAAAAAATTGACCTGCGATATTGACGGCATTGGAGACTCCAAACTAATTGCAGCTTGTGCTTCAGCTTCATATTCATCAACCATTGAAATCCCCAATAAGCGAATCATACTTAATGTACAATAATGTTCATTACCATAGTGACTAAGAAGTTCCACCTAAATCACTATTTAAGAGGTTTAAGAAATTTAGGAAATTCAATTAAAAATTTTCCTTTCTTGAAACGAAGTCTGTTGAATTTGAAAAAATTTAAATTTAAAACTGAATATAAATTCATAATATAATTCGCTCAATTTGATTTTTAAAAAAGTACATGAATAGGCGAACATACTTACACGAATGAATTTTGCATATATCCCGTTAGCAGAAATAGGAAACTGCTGAATTTCACGACTATTTTCGGCAATTATATCGGCAAGTATAATCCAGTCATTTGTTGGATATCTTTCACTGGCGGATAACCGAATTTCACGCGGTCCAGATGAAAATAATTCAAAGTTAGCCAACACGATGAACGTTGGCTGCAAAGAAAAATGAAACCTCAATAAAAACAATGCCAATGAAAAGCCTTAAATAAAAAAAGCCTTATTAAAAAGCTACTTTATAGACCAACCTGAATTGTTTCACATAATTCAATAATAAACCATTTGCTTTGTGCGCGCTCACAAGGATTTCTCATATAATCATCGCGTGCTTTTTCATTTAGCACTGCATTCTATAAACAGTTTATTGATATTCTATATAAAAAGATATTAAATTAAATTAAATTTGATATAGTCGATAGTCACAACTAACTTTATTCTCCACTTCTTTATTGCTAAGTAAAACTTTAGCTCCGCATTCTGATGATGCGTAATTACGAAGTGCAGCTTCTTGATGATGAATAACCTGATTATCCGCCGAATTCCCTTCTATTTTAGAAGGTAAAATGGCACCATTACTCGTTTCAGTTGAAATATAAGCAGAATTTGAAGTTGCCAATAAATCTTGCTGCAAAATTTTCTATAAATAACCTCTACTTATTATATTTGAGAATTTAATAATATATTTAATAATTTAATAATATTAAATAAAATTCAAATAAAATATTAATAATTTAATAGTAATATATTTAATAATAACAACAGTAATATAATTGTAACAATTTAAAATATTTTGCATATCGATTGCGTATATTTATCACTTTTATTGATATTCAATTAAACAATATAAAAAATAAAACAACAAAAAATTATATATAAAATTATATATAAAATAAAAATTATTTTGAAATAAATGTTTTCTTCGTCTAAAATTTCAAATATTATTTTTTTTATTCTTCGATTTTCTATTTTTTTGGGACTTTTTTGATCAATAGACAAACCTCATTAAAAATTAAACTGATTATTTTAATTAATTTTTAATAAAAAGTCAGCCCTGCTTACTCGTTGAATTTTTTTCAGCCCTTCAATTTTCAACTTTTCTTTCGTCCATTCATCAAAAGTGGCAATTGGAGGTGGCTGATTCAATGCATCCTTAAGCGAATCGGCGAGTGGCATCGAATTCTCTTGCAAATTCGAGCCATTTGTGGTGCTATTAAGAGGTAACTGCGATGAACTAAAAATAATTACGTCAGTAACAGACACCACTCAAAAGGAAATTATCAATGTCAATCGATTTTTATACAATTTTTGCAAAATTTTTTTTGAAAATTTAAAATTTAAAAAACTATAATGTAAAATATGAAATTAAAAGATAAAAAATTTAACGACGAACCCGAATGTGAACGGTACTTTATGGCTACCATTTGACGCTGAAAATTCATCGAAAATATCTTCTGAACTGTCGTGAATCCGCGACACATTAAAATAATTCGATGGCGACGACAACAAATCACATTGATTTTCCAAAATTGGACATACTGGATTGGAAAAAAGTTGATCAGTTGCCAATAAAATCCTTAAAACCAAATTTTCTATGGTAATTTTTAATAAACTCTGAAATATATTTGGGGAAAAAAATAAAAACAAAGAAATTACATATTGTAAGACTCTACATGCTTATATTAATCTTGCCTGTTCAAAATATTACAATTTTAAGTTAAATTTGAATCCAACAAGAATTAATAATGGGCCAAAATTACTAAAACCTACGTATAAAAATAAACGGACTCATGACTTCTTCTTCATTCGTACTATCAATTACTGGAATAAATTATCGAAGAATATAGCTTGTGTGCTGCGCTATTCCTAGCTATCTTTAAAAAAGTATTTAGATAATATCATTTGATATTATTTAAAAAATTCATATCATGCAGGATGTATGAAATCTCGATTTTTTAGCACCCAATTATGTACTTTACAATACTTTTATTTCGAATTGTACTATATTATTTCGTAATTTCCTCTTTAGATTGTTAATTTTCGTCATATTTTCCTTTTTATCATTAATTATTATTTGTTATATTAAATTAATATAAGGGCATATGTATTTCCAATTATAAAAGGGTAAAAAATTGGAAAACAATTTTTTACTAATTTTTTTTAAATTTCTGGGTAATAAACATAGGGCATAAAGAAAAAATCCAAAAGGAAAGACAAATTGCCTGTCAACTACCACTGCATGCATGAACGAAAAATTTCGTAGATAAATTAATTAAGAAATAAGATGGACGTTCCCCACGATGACCTATCAAAATATACTATTTACTTATACTTCGGAAATTTTGCAGCGAAAAAACTGCAATTTTCCACCGCAAAACAAATCAAAGGTGGTTTATTTACGCAAAATGAATCCAATAAATATATAAACCATAAGCAAATTTATGTATCGAACGATCATTATAAAAATAAAACCAGTATTTGCTAGCTATACCTACTACTAGAACGAGACAGTTCCGTGTAAAAAAAGATGTGCATGTGAATCTCTAGAACCATCTGATGAACGGATTTCAAAGATCCGCTCTTCAAGCGTCACGGACCAAACTCACAATGCCTGACTTCAAACAAAACGACAGAGTCGTCCTATTTTATTGCTTTGTTATATAAAATTAGTTCAAAAAAAAGAAATGTAAAAAGTAAATGTAAATGTAAAAAAAAAGAAATATAAGCGGAAGCCATATTGTTAATAATAGCCGTTTTCCATCCTTTTTATAAAAAAATTTATTTCAAAATAATGATTATATTAAAAAAAAATTTACCTTAGCGAGCAAATAAGAAAGATCATAATGAAGAAGAGATTATTAGTATGATGGTAAGAATTAAATTTCTGGAGAATAAAAATTCGAAAAATATAATCGGAGATCTCACTTTGATATGCTACGATATTACAAGATCAGATGGGCAACAGATAGGAATCCACAAATTGTAGGCCATATTATCGTTATTCTTTTTGCTCCTTTTGCTCTTATTACTATAGAAAAGGCTAATAACAAATAAGTTTATTAAATTGAATGATTGAATGATTTTAAATTGACAGAATCGTAAAAAAATTTCGATCGAATTTTTTCAAATAATTCCACCATGCAATAGAAAAAAAATTAAATAAAATAGGCCACATTTTTAAAATCGAAACGCCTATAGATGATAATGTGGAAAGAGACAAAGAATTATATTGTATAGAAATAAATAAAATTTTTCCAGTATATTTTAGAAAACGAAAATCGTAAAAATATGAAAAAAAAATTCGCTTGTAAATTTAAACGCAAAAAAACCAAAAAATGAATAGAAACGAGTTAGCAGCTGCTGTTGATCGTATGATGAATGATAGCCAAATATTCATTTTGAAAAAATGAAAACAATTTAAAAATGAAAAAAGAAAAAAATCTGAAATTTCCACCATCAACATCATTCATGGACGAAATGCTAAAAATAGGCTAAATAAATCTTAATGCCTTGTACTCCTGAGATTTTTGAAATTTAGGCAAAAATTATGAAAACTGGTAAACAATCCTCCTTAATTTTGGGGGATAGGATGGCTCAATGGATTGTTGGTCAATTCGGAGCGCTGATGCTGAGGTTCTATTTCCTGCAGGAGTAAACGTGTTCAAAAATCCGGGTGATGCTGGCGATTCACCTGTATGTCTATCGCCAGGTATTCCCTGGCATATTTGTCCAATGCGAATATTACAATGAATTGCTATGTTTTTGAGTAAAAATATAAAAAAAAGACATAAAAACAGTGAAAGTAACAGATTTCTGGAAAAGAAAATGGCACTCAATCGAGAAAAAATTACCTTTGACATGATGGTTGATTTACTGATGAAAAGCTGTTAAACAACGAATATTTGAAACTATGCAAATTAGATGATGAAATGACGATTAATGAGAATAACTAAAAAATAAAAGAATAAAAATTATGAATTTAAATTTATAAAAGAAATAATAACTAGAATAGTGGAAAAGAAAAAGATTTCATATATTTCTAAGATTAAGAAAAAATTTTAAAACTTATAAATTTCGCTTAAAAATAAAAGAAAAAAACCAACCGCGAGGAGATGAAAAATTATGAAATTTTTCACATTTCTTCTAGAAAACCTATTCGATGCAATCATTCATACGATCATTTATTTGATATTACCACAATCATATTCACATAAACAATGATAAAATCTAATAAATAATAACATTAAGTAACGCAAGAATTATATCGCTAAAGCAAACATTTTTCGTTTTCGCACTTATAAAATATTAAAAAATATGAATATTACGATGATTAGCGCAAAAATGTATAAAGTGATTATTAATAAAGAAAAATAGCAAAACGAAATGCCTGCAATGAACTGCTCATAAAACAGGTTAATCACAATATTAGTACACCCTTTGTCGTTCTTCTGAATCATAAATTTTTCTCGTATTGATGATAACTCAACATAGTAAACAACTGATGAAACATTCATGGCAAAACAAATTTCCAGCTAATTAAATTTTTGAAAATAATAGAATAAAGCAAAAATATTTAAGAAGCATATGTTAAAGCATAAAATTTATTCATACAAAACATAAATAGTAAATAAAAAAATTCTCGCTAAAAAACCATTCTATAAACGCAAATATTATAAGTTATGAATATAAATAATGAATAAATAGCAATAAAAATAAATCTCTGGTGGTACCGAGGATCCACGTCAATCCCTCACGTATAATTTTATGTTAGAAATCAATCGATAAAACGAGGAATGACGAATTCTATTCGAAAAGAAAAAAAAAACAAAAATAAATATAACATTTAAATTTCCCTTCAACTCGTAAATTTAATATGTTTGTAAGTTTCAAGGAACAAAAAAAATAAAATTCGAAAATTCGACGGTGGTGAAATTTTGTTCAATAGACAGTCTGCATTTTACTATTCGAAGATTAGAAAACTTTGTAAATGAGCTATAAACAATACAATAATAAATATAATAAAAATAAAAATAATAATAAAAATAATAAAAATAAAAAGAATTGTGGATTCAGCAGCGTAATTAATTATTCCGCCAATAGGGCAATAATAAAAAATATCGAAATGAGGTTATACGACTATAAAGGAAATTTTGCAGTAGAATTCAATTACTTACAGAGAAAGAATTAGTACCGCAAAATATTTGGTTCTATCATCGCATCGGATAGCCAAAAAGTATTTCGATGATTCTGCGATCAATATCAATTTGAAATTCAATATCCAATTCATCTTAAATCCAATTTTAGAAAACAATAAATAATATAAAAATATACAATAAAAAATATTAAAAAAAATAAACAAATATGGTGAAGAAAAAAGAAACTATTCACTGATACAAATCAATGGCATATGAAACGACAAATTCATACAATAATATTTAATGTTTAATGTTTATGAATAATGTTTGACAATGCTAACAGAATAAATTTTGAATTTAATGAGCGAATAATTTAAATCAAAATAAGAATTAGCATAAATTCGTATTCGAAAAATGGCGAAAATAGAACCAACAGATACGATGTAGAAGAAAAATTATAAAACTATCAATTATTACTGTTCATGAAGCATTTTACTATAAATTACTGTGAAGAAATACCGTAAAAATACTGTAAAATATATAAGTCCATTGATAAAAATGCAAATTATTTGAGGAGGAGGGGGGGGGGGGGGGGGGGGGGAGAGGGAAGGGAAGGAAGGAGAGCCACAAGAAATAAATGGGATCTTAAGAACAACCACTGATGAGGAAAGAAGGATGAAACATACACATACAATCTCCCGCATTCTCTTTTCACGAAAAGCCAAATAACTTGAGAGAATCAAGAACGAATTAGTTCTTTACGATCTTACTTTTATCACTGATATTCAATTAATGTGCGAGGAACTGACAGAGAGTGAAGCGAAAAAGCGACGTATATCCATCTATCCATCGATGTATGAGCTTAGAAGGTGGAAATAAAAGTGGCTTTCAAATAGGGCACTGCATGAGTAGGTTTGCCTTGCAAATAGCCAGTAAAAGTGCAGATCGGACTAGCTGCGTAGGCTGAGGGATGGTCGGCCACGAAATCACTTGGCCAGAAAAACAACTGGGCCGCCATTAGCAGTCGGGCTTTTTAACAATCGCCCTTATTTCTTTGCGGAGCAAAACAACCGAATCTTTGCCTTCCAGCACGATCACTGAAGAAGTCGCTATTCACTGCGCTTTCTTTTGTTTCACTATTTTTTCAAATAATTCATAATTTCGAGAATTCGCCATTCATAATTTATAGTTTGAATTTTTTTGGATTTTTTTTAAATTTGGAAAATTTTTTTTGGATTTAAATTTAAATAAAAAAAATGAACAATCCCATAGATTCAGAATTAAGTCTTCTTTTCGTAAATTTGGCTTACGTCAACAAAAATAAAAAAGAATTTCACGATTCGAAGTCTCCCCGATACGAAAAAAAATGATGCAGCATCCGAATCCGACTAATAGTGTAGAATTAAACCGCAGCACACACAAACAGCATCACGGCCCATGGCCGATCAATCACTTTCCAATCTTAGGTCGACAGCAATCAACCAGTTCGGCAACAAAATTGACTCATGCAATGAGCAAATAGCCAGCAACTCGTAGCTTTCACCATCAGCAGCATGAATTTATATTTTATATAACTGCCATGATTCGCGATCGCATAAAAATAATTCCAAATGTCGCAAAAAGTTATCGAAGAACGTCACTGATCAAAGGATACAATAGTCGACCGGATTTATTGATTGTTTATGCATGATCCAGTCGTTTTCAACTCCTAGCGACCATACAGATAGATTGTTTTTTGCCGAAATTGCTCCTAAGTCTGTCAATGATGCACTCATTTTTTCAGTGACTGAGTCCATCCATTTGTAGATTGTCCCCTTCCTTTTCTTTCCTTCTTTTAGTTCCCAGCAATGGATCCTACTCCAGAGAGTTGAGTCCTCGTATTATTCGTCCAAAATGAGATAATTTATGCCTTAAGGAAATTCGATGAACCATCGATATTTGCTTAAATGTCCACTGTATTCTTATGAATCTTTTCCAACACTAAACATGGAAAGAAAGCATCAATACTCTTCCTATTTGCCTTGTTAAAATCCAAGTCTCGCATCCACAAGGGATAATACTGTGGCTTGCTTAATCCTTGCAAGCATAGTCACGTAGCGGCATTATCAGTTCTTCGTGACTGCTGTGCACTAATCTAAAACGCCAACGTACTTTTTAGCTTGGTGATTGATCCTAAAATCCGGAGATTATCCATAACATTGATTATCAGTTCTAATTCTGGTTATTCTACCTGTTATCATTAGTTTAGCCTTCTTTCTATTTGGTTTTGATTCTATTTTTTTAATGTTTAGAACTGAAGCTTGCAGACGGCTTCTTAAAATCTGGCATCTCTAAGCTGCTTTGGTTTATCGTAAGCTATTAGCATCTGAAATTAAGGATATTGTACGGTAGTTTGCAAATTCTTTTTTTACTGGCATAATGATTGATCCTTTCCAATCAGTTGGTCGGTGATTCAGATCTGCTGTCATTTTCCGGGTATTCTTGTTGTCCTCACCATGAATTTATCCATATAGAATGGCTCAGTGGGTTGTTGCTCAATTCAGAGCGCCGATGCTGAGGTTCTATCCTCCGCAAGAGGAAATCTGTTCAAAAATCCTGGTGGTGATGGCGACTTATCTGTATCACTATCGCCACAGAACTCCTAGCATATTTGTCCAGTGCGGCAAGCTAGCGGAGTGATTTTAACAGGTAATGGTAAGGGCTCTCAAAAAAAAATGGCTTTTTTGCCGCACTGGACAAATGATGGTACTTTTTCACGCCAAATCTGCGATATAGTTTTCTTTTCCTTTATCCATCACCAACTTGAAATTATGAAATTATTAATTAAATATAGAAAATGATAAAAATAAGTGGATTTTTTAACAAAAAATTGAGGGAAAAGAGGCCAACACAAAGCTGGTTGGATATTATAAAATGTGTCTGGTTCAGTGGAAGTAACTGAAATTCCAGTGTATTCTCAGGTTTACGCTAGGGTCGTATTATTAGCTTTCTGGGACCGCGAGTTGGAGATTTGCATCTATACAATATTTCACTGTACTCCTTCTATCTTCCTTTGATCTCTTGAACTGGTTGCTTTTTATTCATTCCCATTTCCAGGTTAGGCCTTTCTCTTAAAAGGTTTTTTCCTTTTTTATATTCCATTTTCAATATTTTTAATATTGTTCCTGTCTCTCTCTTTTAAAGGCTTTTTGTTAAGTTCCTTTTTGTATGTGATTTTTGTCTTTCTTGATTTGAGCTTCTCTTCTTATCGTGATTATTTCCACAGTCAGAAACCATAATATTTTTAAAAGATATTGAAGATGGAAAAGGAAAAAATTGGAAAGGAAAGGAAAATCTTTTAAAAGATTCTAAATCACGAAGGAGGTTCCATCCAATTTGGTACTTTCACATTTTTCATTCTGACAGTCATTTCATAATTCATGCTTTACAACTTTAAATTCATTCAGTAATTCCTCTGGTTCCCTTTCCATGACGAGGATCTCATAGCGATTCCAAATGTTCTTGAAAATGGTGCGAATATGTCCAGCATTATTTACTGGAAATTGATTGGCCTTCTTTTTAGCTTGAAACTTGCACACGAGTGATCCGTGATCTTTTCCACAATCAACTTTCCACAACCACAACCTATGGTTCTAACGAGTTCCTCTTTTTAGCAATAATATTATAGTCTATATACTCCATTTCGTGAAGTCTATTGATGTGTCATCATATTTTCTTCTGTATTAATGATTGGAACATAAACTTGAAAGATCGCCATTTTAATGGAGACGGAATTAATCGATTATTATTCGGTCAGTGATTTCTTTATAGTAAAATACTATTTTTGCTATATCCTTTCCAACTGTACGAACTGTACCATTTCTTATTTTTCATTTTTGAGCAATAAACGACGTGTTTCTTCTAATTGAAAATGCTCAACCTCAGGTCACCTCGATTCGGCAATAATTAAGATCTATAATTTGTAGTAGTTCCAACTTTTATTACGCTTGAGCTCTCCTGTCTTTATGCTTCTTATGTCGCATGTATCCACCATAATTTCATTCTTTTAATTTTTAATTTTCTTTTTCAACATCAACAGTCATGCTTCTCGAAGGCGTTAACTTAACAAACAGGAGTGCTTTAGCACATATGAAGGTGCTTTCAGAGATTACCATATAATAATTCTTAATTTCAGAATTTAAAATGTAGTAAATCTTTCAATTAAAATTATTTAATAATAACAAGTAAAAAATAAGACAATTTAAAAGACTGAACAACTGATAGATGAATTTAATCTTCACGCAAAGGAACAATAAGTTTCCGAATAGGTTTATCATGTTCTGCAATCACTAAATGCATTTTATCACCAGTGCTAATTTCACGTTCAGTAACCATACGAAAAGCATCTTTCATTAGTGAAATTGCTCGTTCAATCGATAATATCGGTTTTTCAACCTCATCTGAGAGAGTCACATGAGATATCTGTAAATGAGAAAAGAAAAATTGTGAAGCCAAAATTGACAAAGCAAAAAAAATAAAAAAGACAAAATGAAGATAACCAATAAAATCGGAAAAAAGTGCGAAATATAAATTTTAAAAAATTATACCAATTTTTTTTAGTACTGCAAACATTAATGCTAATAAATTTACCTGACAATCAAAAAATGGCATTATTAGCGGTTCTCCTGGTCCCGAAGCAGCATAAGGAGAAGGAGACAACATTCCTAAAGAATCGTAACTGAAAACAGCTCCTTTACCTGAAATGTTGCACTCCTTTGGTAAATAAGAACAAAAAATTGAAACATAAAATCCCAAAAAAAGAATAAAACAAATCTAATATGCGTTTTAATAGATGCAATTATCCTGAAGAAAATGAAAAATTGAGAAATTTTTAAAACAGTTATTGAACAAGAACCATTTTCATCGATCCCAGATAGTATCGATTCCGTATAATAAGGAAAAAAGCGTCGGTAATAAAGATTTCTTGATAGCAATTCAGCACAAAGGTCAACTGTCATATCTCCGCGATAATCAAAACGATATTTGTGTAGTCGAGCCTTAATGATAAAAAAAGAAGTAAGCTAAAGATAAAGCAAAATTAATAAAAAACAACTTTTGTTCAATAGTTGTTTATAGCAAATATTACAAAAAGGAAATACAAGAAAAAACAAATACAAGAAAGAAAGCATGAACGAATTATTGAAAAAAATTTAAAAACATCTTTTTAACCTGAAGAAGTCTTCTCAGCTGAAGGATATCACCACAGAATCCAGCAGATGATAAAATTATCGAATCATTTCTGCAATGTAATTATGGATTACAATGCAAATTTAAAAGACCAATCAAATATTATAATTAATAAGTTGATAATAATATAAAACCAGTATTAGATTTAAAGAATTTTTTAAAATTAAACTTTTTTTCATAAACGAAAAAACAAGAATACTAACAGAAGATGTATCTTATCAGCGCCACGACTTAAAATGTTAACTTCACTTTGTGTTAATCGTGAATCACCACCCACTATTGCAAAATTTTCACCAGCAATTGCAGCCGTCGTTCTGAAATCAGCACATGCGATGAATATTTTGAAATTCTACTAAAAAATTCAGTTAGGATGGAAAAAAATACGGTTATAGATGATATTTATAATTCTGAATTAAAACAATAAGAAATCGTTTGACCTATTGGCTGTAATCATTTAAAAAACATTATTAGCGATAATAGCGATAGTAGCGATTATTAGCGACTGAAACTTTTTGTTCAAATAGTTATAAATGAAAGCAAAACTAGATTTACCCTCCTTCAAAACTATATGGATTCCACTGTTGACTTGTGCATTCTTTCTTCTTCATCCATGGTGCTGAAAATTTGGCTTTTTCCATAGCCATCTTAAAAAATTTTATATTTCCCATTGTTTCATCAAGCTCCAACATTTTTTAACTGAAAATTTATGGCATACTTAATATACTATCAAATATTAGCCAATAAAATTAGGATAAAATAAAAACGTGAAGAAGAAACAATCAAAAGCGATAAAATACAGAGATTTCGAACATATCAACGCATCACTGAAGAAGTGACAAATAAAAAATTTTATAAAAATTAAATTAAAAGCCTTGAAAGTATAATTTAAAATAAATAATTTAAAATGAATAAAGTAATTTAAAATGAATAAAGTAAAGTAATTTAAAATAAATTTAAAATAATTTAAATAAAAATTCAAAATAAATAAAATAAAATAAATAAATAACTTAAAATAAATAAAATAATAATAATAATAATAAAATAATAATTTAAAATAATATATAACTTAAAATTTAAAATAAAATAAGTGAAGTTCACTAAGCATTTCGCTACCAATAAATTAAAAGACATTAAATGCTGAATAGTATATTGCTTAGATTATTTAAAGCATAGTTCAGTCTATCCCTTAGCAGAAGAAAAAAAGAGCAACATAAAGACCTCTCGTCGAACCAAACAGCCTAGAATTATCAAATATTCTAAAGGCTATTTTAAATAACCATTTTTAAGGAAAATTTATACTTATCCCAAATAGTGGGAGTAGACAGTTGAATTAACCAAATCAAAAATATCAGTTAATAATGGCCGTAAAAAAATTCTTTTTTATCATGTTTTTCTGTACATTGTTTATAATTTGGCTGACTGATTACTAAGGTGGGATTTTTTCAGTAGAGTAGCTGAAATTGCATCCCATGAATCATATTTTTAATAACAGGTTCATCCTCGTCATCATTAACCTGTATTCGGGGTATGAATCCGTCTGTATTCGCCCACCATTTCCATTCTTCTCCAGTTTTCTTTAAATCATCCCCTTCTACCGAAAAAAATCATATTCAAACTATTTGTTGACATCCATCTTTAATCCACAAGACAATGGTTCATATTATCATTTTAAAAGCAAGAGTTCGCCTCCTTCTGCTGATATATTTAAAAAGTCTACTACTGAAAAATCCAAGTGGTCGTAATACTGGCAACCTATTACCACCGACTTCTTGGCTAACTTATTCAGGGATGTTCATACTTGTTAATATTTCTCTGATATTCATTCCTTACCGATAAATATCTCAACTTCCAAACATGTAATTATCTCCATATGTTAAAAAAAAGATCGCCAATTCTTGGCAAGTCGCTATTGACTAAACATGACTAAACATTGGTTTAAAAAAAGACTCATAAACAAGAAGCATTACGAAAAGCTCAACATATCATCTCGATTGGAGAGTTCACCCAATATAAAACAATGGAAAAAACATTTATATTTAGTAAAACTTGTGAACACGGAGAATTTCTGCATAATACATTCACTTCATAGCACTTTCATTCCAATTCAATCGCTTGTAATAAAAATTGCATAAAGCAACCGCCGAGAGACTGTGAAGACCTACAAATTTGTTCAAATTAGGATATATTTTCAGTGATTAAAACACTGCAGAACTAAACAAAAAAGAATAATTTATTTCAAAAATCTTTTTCGACGTGAAAATTCCTTTTTTTTTCAAATACAAATATTTGTATATATATATTAAAATGAGAGGAATGATAAGGAAAATTGTATAATTTGAATATAAAACAAATAAATAAATAGACAAAAGAAGTTTTAATCATCAAATCATGTGTATATGCTTCGAAAGACTAAATATACCATCGTAAAACGTCTTCAGTAATAAATTTTGATTTCATTATTAAAAGCCATTTTTTAAGCAATAAAACAGTTCGCTATATACGATAGTGCTAGATAAATTGTTTTGCCGAATAGATCCAAAGAAAGAAATATAAAATTAGACGATATTCAAACAACATCATCAAGCCTATAAATGCTAATTATTCGACAAGAAAAACTCCTTGTCTTCATTCAAGTGAAAACAACAAAAACGTAACGTCTCAAACAAAATAAAAGAGACTAAAATACATCATTTTGAAAAATTAAGGCAACAATATGTAAAAAGTTTTCTAAATAAATTCCTAACGCGTTTCTTATTTCCATTAAAAAAATCAAATAAAAATTTCAAACAATTATGAACATCAAATTCATTTACAATATCAAATTTACATATGAAAATAATAAGAAAAAATACAAAGGCGTAAAGCATAATCTTAAATAGCGTGAATGATCAAGCAAAATTTTAACCAAATTCCAAGAAATCAAAAATTTCAAATCTAAGCTGTAAAGGATGACAAAGATCAGCGAAATTCATGACAAAATTAAAGAATAGCTGAATATTTGCATTAACCTCGCTGCGCCCGTCTGTAGCTCAAAAAAATTTTTGTAAATAAATATGAAAGACTGGAAGCACCACCAGTATATAGATATGAATAGCCTTATTTAAGAGAGGTCATTAGGCGACCCAAACAGTAAATAAATTTGAATAAAATACAAAAATTTTAATGGCTGAGGAAAATGCTGCCCAGATATACTTACAGCAATTTGCAATAATTTAAAGTTTAAGCGTTTAAAATGTCATAAATCAGGTTCCTCGTTCATTTGACCATGAAGAAAACCCTCCCTGAAAAATAGAATATTCTGCGATTTATAGCTAGAAAAGAATTTTTAACGATTAATTTCTTCCTTACAGACACATCACTGAAAATCCAATTTTTCTTATCTGTAAAAACAAACCGTAAATGTTCTTGAATATCACCATCATCTGCAGCTGCCAACTGCTCACGTTGATTATCTTCTTCATCTTCTACAAAGAAGGTTTACATAGTGCATATCGTCTAATTATGCAGCCACAAGAATTTGCCATATTTTATTATCCTATTTCTGCATACAAAAAAATTTTTTTGAGTGCAACTGAAATAAAAAAATTTTACAGTCACCATTGTCTGAGGCATCTTCATTGGGAAATACACGAGGAGCGAATCTGTCGCCTCTATGCACAGGTTGTGGAACGGCTGCTGCAGCTATTGCTGCCAAAGCCGGTGGTGCACCATCATCAAGGATCTCCGTATTTTCCTCATTTACTCCAACAGACCGCGAGTCCATGAAATCCCATATTAAAATTGTATCATCGTGCGATGAAGAGACAATTTGAAATTCATCAAACTGCAAACGAAAAACTCGACCCGTATGTTGCTGAAAGTTTAAATTAATAGCAAAACTAAAAAGACCACGAAATCTATCAGAAAAGCTAATAATCTCGCAGTTTTTAAATAATAAAGAATGAAAAGTAAACATTTTTTAACACTTTAATGTTTGGATGATGAAATAATAAACAATAAACAATAATAATAAACAAATTCAAAAACTAGCCGCTAAAGTTAATAAACAAATGCTTTCTGGAGGTGATCGCGGATTCAAAGCTGCTTGCAAATCCCACACTTTAATTCGCCTGAATTACCGAAAAATTTAAATTTCACAGAAAGATATTTATAATCAATATTAGTTCAACAAATAATTTACACCAGAAAATTTGTAAAGAATATTGATAAAAAATAAACCCATCATAGGCGCCAGAAACAATTCGTTTCGAATCAAATCGAATGCAACGAACAAGTTGTTCATGGCCTTCCAATACCCGCAAACAACTTCCGATTTCGATATCCCATAGCCTTTAAAAATTTGACAATAAAGCACCAGAGGAATTCTGAGCAATGATCATTTAGACAAAATTAAACCGTATAGTGTTGTCACTGGACCCTGATACGATAAGCCTATCGTGATACTGTAAACAGGCGATGCCGCGACGATGGCCAGCCATTGTACGAACAAATTCGCAAGTGTCTGTGCTCCAAACCTTTGAAAAATAGCTTTTATGTTGACGAAAAATCTGAAGTAAAAAAAGTAAAAAATCAAAAATTAATTTGAATATTATACCTTGATAGTACGATCACCTGATGCTGAAACGATATACTTACTATCGAAATCCACAACATTAACAGCAGCTCGATGGGCAACCAAAACACGACGAACATTGATTTCTCTTGGAGATATCATATCCCAAACTGCTATGGAACGATCCTTAGAACTGTAAAATTATTATTATTAAAATTATCTCAACAAATATGAATTATTGAGCAGTTCATAGTGAGATAACAATATAGAATTTTTTTTTAACTTCAGATTAAAACGAGCAAAAAGCTGATTTGATCAATTTATATTAATTTAATTATAAAATATTAAGAATAAAAGAAAAGATGAACAAAAACTGATAATATTTATAAATGATGTAAATTAAATTAAATTAATATAAATTGATATAGAAAACTATTTTGAAAAATCTTCAACAAATTGAAAAAATTCGAAAAAAAAAGAATAAAACAAGTCCATTACCAAGTTACCATCATTCCGTTTTGAAATCGAAGATGCAAAACAGCTTCCACGTGGTGAATTAATGTATGCAACAATTCGCCTGTATGTACATCCCAAATTCTGAAATTATTTTCTAATGATGTACCAATGATATGATATTTTAAAAAATGCTAATTATAGAGTAACAAATTACAAGCATATGACCAGTACCTAACAGTAGTATCACTGCTGCCACTAATAATTACTCGGTCATCATACTGTAAACATAATACTGATCCGCTATGACCTCGTAACGTTCGTGAACACTGCAAACCATCACGCTGCCAAATTTTAATTGTGTGGTCTCGCAAACCAGAAATTATTTTTTGGTCATCATATTGCAAACAGTACACTCCTGCAAAAAAATTTTATGCTAAAAATTGAAAAAATTTCCTAGACTATGAAAAATACGAGGCAGATCAACCTCTGCTAGGTTCGGAATGGCACGTAATGCGTGAAAGAACGTGACGGCCATTTCGCCAATTAGATTTCAGACGCTCAATATCTTTATAGATTTTAGGATAAAGTTTCCTATAGAAACAATGTTGCACATTAAGTGAATCGCATGTTGTCCTGAATAAAATTTATTATTAAAAATTTAAAAAAAGAAAAAAATTCAGTAAATTTGAATGGAATGGATAGAACAAATTTGAATGGCTGACCTCTGCTGTTCACTTAAGACATCGTCATATCCCATCTCTTTGTAAATCAACGTATGTGCCATATCTTTATTGATAAAGAGAAATTTAAGCCTGGAATAGTTAATTTTCTGAAATTTTAAATCTTTTAAAACGGAAAATAATCGACTCAATCGTTAAATAAACAAATTATTGGGTTTAAACAAAAATGTAACCAATATAACCAATTAGATAATGTAAAACATAATTAAAAGAAACAAACCAGCCGCGCTTTTCTGCTATACCTTTCCAAACAATATCTGTTTTCACATTGTGTTCAATTAGTTTTTGCCATAGTTTGCCCTGAGCAATTACTTTTTGCCAGGTACGACATACTTGTTCACTAGCTCCTAACCAAGGAGCATCCAAATACGATAAAATATGTCTTGCTAATCGGTCTAAAATTTAACAAAATTTTATTACCTACGAAAATTTTTTTATAATTTCTGTTGAAAAATTCAAATGAAAAAAGTGAAAAAAATAAACATTAAATATTAGATGATAGGTAAGAAGAAAGATTAAACAGAAGTTGCAAATTTTAGCAAATTTCCAAATTTAAACCAAATTTGAGATATATGAAATAAATATTGCGAAATATCCATATTTAATCAAACAAACGATATAATAAGAAATAGAAGATGCTAAGAAAAAAAACCTGGTAACAATGATATGAAATCACGTTGAAGAATTGGTCTGAAAAACGCATCAATCTGTCCATGCTGGTCGTGGCACATTCTTCTAATAAGCTGTTTAACATAATCTACTTGATCTTTATTGTTCCAATTTGAAAAATTCTAAAAATGAAGAAATTATGTATTATGTAAAATTCAATAAATAATTCAAAAAATAAAATTATTCCTAAGGCGTCATTATAAACAGCAATCATATTTCATTACACAAATTTATACAACTAATTGGTGTAAAACGTAAATAATGCTAAGCCATTTTTAATCCTGTCAACTGCTTATTTTTTTAACTAATATTTATTTACATCAATAATTAAAAATCAAAGCAATCCCACAAATATTTTTTTCGCTAAAACTCGCTAAAACTATTTGCAAATTAATAGCCTTTTGACAACCAAACAATAGACAACTTTTATGAACAATGCTGATGTCTAAATATGGAAAGCATTTCTCAGGACGAAAAAAAAATAACGCACAACTTTTCTTTTCTTAAAATGTTGTTCACTATAAAAACTAACTGAATCAATAAAATAAAAAAGTAAAATAAAAATGCAAGGTAAAAATAAATTTCTGATAAAAATTGCCCTACTTATGTAAAAATTATTGTATCTTCATTTTTAAAATTCTTATCAATTTTCCCACTGACTGTTTTGAAAGAAAACCGCAAATTCTATCTATCCATTTCGCACTTCACGACTTAATAATCAGTTATTTCAACCAAAAATTCCATATGCCTGCTTCCTTATTGCACAATTTACATATCTAATTTACATATCTAATGAATCTTTCCCGAATTTAACGATATTTAAGAAAATTTAAAATTGTCTACCAATTTTCAATTATAGAAATTTCCTTTCAACTATATATTAGTTTTATTTACTATAGTAACTGACTAATATAAATATTATCTATCTTATTTAATGATATATGACAATTTAATGCGATGAATTTTTAAAATTAATATTTAAAAAAAATATTAGTAAAAAATTTATTACTTCTAAACAAATATCGCGTTCTTTCAAATATTTTTCGCTAAAATCCTTCTCGATTTCTTTCAACGACAAATCAGCCATTAAATCAGCCGTCGATACGCTCTAAAACTTATTTAATAAGTTTATATTTAATAAAAAATATGAAAATAAACAAAATATTTAAAAAAATATAAACATATAATGATAATATTGATAACAAAAAAATGAAATTACAAAATAACAAAATTAAATGAAAAATTAGATGAATTTATATTTTAAAAAATAAAAAACAATCTAAAAAATTAAATTCAAAACTAACTAAAAGTATTAAAACATCTTTTTATCATTTTTCCAGAAAAAAAAAGGTAGCGAAGAGTTATAAAAAAAATATTAAAACTGTCACTTTTCTATACAATAATAGCGAAAGAAAAATCAATATTGTGATCCTCTATAAACAGAAATAGTTGAATAAAAAAAGTGGTGCCTACAATTTTAAAAAAACGCTATGCGAAATTTTTTACAGGGTTAAAAACTAAAAAAACTCCCCTATAGCTACACACTTATCAATGAATGTTAAAAATAAATGATAAGCGACCAAAAACAACTTACATATAAATCATCGTGTTCCATAAGCATATCACCTTGATAAGAAAATGCCATCGTTATTGATTCTTCATTCATTGCTAATTATGAAATTAGAATTTGAACCTTTAAAATATAAAAAAAATATAAATAAACACTCATCTCTTCGAATGAAAACAAAAAGAAATAAAATTGAGTAATATGTAAAATTGAGTAATATGAGTAATAAAATTAAATATATGATTATTTCTATTTTTTTAATATTTTTAAATTTCAAAATAAAATGGAACACTATTTATCATATGACTGATATAATTTGCGAACTACAATAGACAAAGTGTAAATTTGAGAGAAACAAATTATGAACGATAAACTTTCCGCTAGGCGCTCACTTCTCGATAGATTTATAAAGGGATTTCCAGCAGTGATAAGCATTCATATCTAAACTTATTAAAAAAAAAAAAATCGAACCAACACTTTCTGCCTCTAAGTTAAAACTATGATAGACAGAAGCTTTGAATGCTTTATGAAAATAAATATATTTTGATATTTGTTGTCATTTTACATCGGAAACTTTTCGCTAGTAAATCAATAAATTTTTCTAATTAAAGTCACAAAATTATTAATATAAATATTTTATAGTAGCAAAAAAAAAAAATTCTTTTAGAAAACAAATATTTTTCCTCGGTGACTATAAATCAGTATTCGATAAGCGATCACCTTCGGGCCATACGCACCATTAGGCACGGTTAGCTTATTCTAAAGAAACCATTTCACCAGAGAGTCACCTGAGGAACAGAAAGAGAAATAAACTGACTGATTCACCATTCCTACTCGAATTTCACTTTTTTTTCTCTCATCGATCGACAGGAATTGAATTTAAATATTCTCCGCTGAATTCATGAAAAATTGAGAGGATTTTTCTTATTGAAACGAAAAAACAACTGCCAAGCTTTTTTCGAAGAAAAACAACAACAACAACCTGACAAACGATTAAGCCAGCGGCGATAAACTTATTTTTTGTAAAATTCGACCCCAGCTTTTTGGCAAACGGCCAATTTTTTGAATTTCATTTTGCGGGAAACTTCAGAAATCCTGGATTTAACTTAGTCCTTGAATGATCGCGATAGAGTCGCTGATATTTTTTATCTGAGTGCTAATCACTTGCTGATAATCGCTGATATGATAACGCAGAGTATGTTTATCCTCTCCAATCGTCATATTATTTTCTTAAGTGAATCCAGTGTGTGGTATCCGATATCCAACAAGTGTCTCTATATATTTTATCTTATGTTTTTTGTGGATAATTGCATATATCTTTTTCTCAGTGCATATTATTCCGGAAAGAGGTTCGTAGTTTTAGTTTTCGCCAAATTCTCAGTAATGTTTATCTAAAACTTAATCATTCATCTTACATGATACCAATCAGTACCAGAAAATTAAAGTTAGAGACGAAACAGTCCATCAAAGAATCAGGTGCATTGCTTTTTCAATAATATTCTACCTATGCTCTTCAAATACTTTCTTCTAGTTCTTCGCTGTATATCCTTAATAGCTCGTAAATTTCAGTTTGTTGCCTTAACTTTTTCCTAGCTCCATTATCTTTGCCGTAAAATTCTTTCGAATTTCCCACCTCGCGGAAGCCTTTCTGATATCTTCCACGCTCATTAGCCATGTTTTATGGCCCATATAACAGGATTGTATGTGTTATAAAGAGGTAGAACTTCCATTTCGGGGCAGCAATTCCGCAAAGGTTTCGCTGAGCGGCGGAAGAAAATGTTCCTAGCTGCAGCAGGAATTTCGCCTTGCCGTTAGGAATAAAAGTGCATGAATTTATGATTTTGATTAATTAATTTAAATCTTATTTAGATTAATTTTAAGACGAATTTTTTACTGCTATATTTATCCACAATCTCTCGATTTAATGTTCATAATTATCAGATTATCATATCGCGTTCATTATTATCAGAATACCATAACATGTGATCTGATCTGATTTTTATCTCAAAGCAGTGAAAAAAACATATCTTTCGAAGATGAGTTTCAAAAAGAGAGAATACAACGATTTAAAGATTTTGACTCGAACACTGTTCCTTGAAAGTCTTATTGTGGATTGCAGAGATTATGGGGCTCCGAATGCATTTCCGATATGTTCAATGCTCCATCGAAGCTAAATTTAGCTCGACAGAACTCTCTTCATAGCGAAACGACCTTTGAAAGCATTGATTCCATTCTTTTTTCATTCATTCCATTCCAAGCAAGATTCCATTCTTATCTCCATTGGCCATCTTTACTTTTGCCTTGCGAAATAAGCGAACCGCATTCAGATCCACTTTTCTATTATGAGCTGTTGTGCCACTGTGGTACCGTTACGGCCGTTGCGTATTGTTGCGCATTTATTCACCAGTTCTCCTGGTATGCATGCTTTGGCGGTTAGTTCAAATTTTTAAACCCAGATTCACCCCAATTTCGTCGACTTTTTGAAGGAAAACTGTAATCAGCATCAGTATTTATCAGTTATCAATATTTATCAGTTATTCCAGAATAAATTTTGATATCAAAATTCTTGAATTATTTCAGACCCCTATTTTGAAAGTGATTTACTATTCTTGAGACTTTTAACTTGACGCATTCAAAAGATCTTTAGCTGTTTTTTGTGCATTTTTTTATCCAAACTCCTGTTCTAACCATAAAGTGATCCTGGTGAAGTTGCCAGTTTTTGCGATTCAACTGCCTATCTAATGTGGAATTTTTCTTGCCATAGATTTATTAGACCATGAAGTATAATTTGTATACTAATTTTTACCACTTTTATTGTGAAATATTGAGCTTCGGATTTCAAAATTTATTCAAATTTATTATCGAAATTAAGAATAAAAAAGGAACAATTCGCTAGTTCGGTGTTTGGTGCTTTTTGTGAGTGAAAAGACAAATAAGCCAGCTATTCTCAAGATTTCGCTCTCTAAACTGGCAAAAATTTTAAATTATTATCCTAAATTATTCATGTAAGGGCAAATACATAGAATTTGGTTCTCAATTTTAGGACTTCCGAAAGGACCCCAAAGACCTTTAGGGAGTGTTGAGAACCATCGACACACTGATAAAACAATGATTAATTGGTTTAAAGAATTAATATTTGGCTATTATGTCCTGAATTCAGTGATGATCATGGAATTTTTTGTGCCTTTGGTCTTAGAACGAAATCATAAGAGGCCGAGATATATCACAAATTATAGATAAAGATTTTAAATTGTCGGATTTTGTTGAGGTCAGAGGTCAAGTGTTCTGCTTGCTTGTATAAAAATCGCTAATTTGTCAGATAATATATTATTGTGCATATTGTAGTGTAAATCAAAATTTAATCGAGAATGATTTAAAGTTTGGCGTCAAATGCTTTATCTGCACACAATAATTAGTAATTCACATAAATGAACATTGGTACTTACCTAGTGCAGTGGAACCGATTTAGCACGGGGAAATATTGCAACAATTGAAGAGGGCATGAGAATCTATCTTTATTCAAATGGACGTGATGGTTAAGGTCACTTTGAAAGATTCAATTTCGACGACGGCAGACGGAAGTAAATCTATCATTCGGAAATTTGAACGACCGCTGCTACTTCAGTTCTAATTCTTTCTTTGTCAGAAATCTTAGGCGCAACGTGCAGCGGTCAAGCCTAGCCATTGAAGTGGAACTGCGCACATAGTTCTAAATTTTCTTTATTGGTATTCGATAACTTGGGCTTAATTTCAGATTGGGCTTCAATGTAATTTATATTATTCCACGAATTTCTTTGAAAATCTGCAAAAAGCTTATTAGTTCTTTGTCAATGAAATATGTAAATGTATAAATAAGGAATTTCATACAAAAAAAAATTATAATCAAAAGCAGAAAATGAAAAAGATTATAGAATGCGGTGAATTTTACTGGTTGAAAAACAATACAATAAAATGGCACAATACGGAGATTATGGGGGATTATAACACATAAATGATACGAACAATGGTTGAGGTGAAATGAGCGAAGGTATAACGGTGATTTATGAGGACGCATAACGCATAAGTGTTGCGAGCATTTCTCGTTGCCTCGTCAGCCTTGTACGGTCCATTTATGTGTCCTTTAAGGGGTCCTTAAAGGACCATTGATATGAACTGGAGAGGAATAACCATTTACGAAGCGATTGGGTTGGCTTTTGCTCTGTCGGGCAGCCAAATTTTATTCGTTTAGATGTGAATTTTCGCTCAAGGCATTTACACTAAATAGGAAATCATAATTTACAATTGGAATTGTTTATTTATTTTCAAAATTTATATTTATTTTTTATATTTCAGCGACTTACTTTTTAGGCTTAGGGCTTAGGCTTTAAATTATTTATTTCAGTGCTATTTTATAAATGTAATATTTATTTTTCGAGGTTCATTCCTAATAAATTTTCAATTTTACCAATTCTTTTTAATTATTAATTAATTAATATTAAACATATTACATATTTGAAATTAATTAATATTAAAAGAATTAAATTTGTGGTTTTTAAAGAATAGCAAAAAGTTTTTAATAAGTAGGGCTTTAGCGAATTTCAAATATTCCCATTTAGATCGAAAATTTTCGTAAGCGAAAAAAATTTGGTGCATTCTAAGGTCGAAAAAATGACTTTAAGCTGATAAAGCTGGCAGACTAGGTAAATTTTAAAACTATAAAGGCATTGTTCGAGCGTAAAATGAATAATGGAAGTGACAGGTGCCATTCAAAAAGACGAGCTAATAATGAATGTGTTATATGAAGCATTGCAACTTGACGACTTATTTTTTAAATAAACAGGACAAGACAAATGAAATTCTTTCCTATCCTATGAAATATTCGTTTCGAATTTCTGAGAAATTATTTATTCAGAAAAAAATTGGCCAAAGCGTGAAGCCTAAAAAACCAACGCCAAAATTATTAGGCTTCTTCTTCTAACAGTTTTCGTCATTACTGGTTAGACTGGTTCCACTGGCTTTACAATGATAAGATGCAGACAATTTACTGATAAGCAGCAAATCTACACCAATCAAAAATCGGCTTATTGCGTTCACCGCATAATTTCATTTGCGAATCGCTT